TGCTTCCCGCGGGCGTAGCGGATCGTCATTCGGCTCTGGCTGACGTGGCCCCTGACCTGCAAGGGCGGGAAACCGGTTGGCAAAGCGAGCCCCGGCCCCCGCTCCTCACCGACGGCGGGAGGGCGAGAAGCAGAGGCAGAGCTGAGATTGAGCAAAGCCAGAAGGTAAGTCCAGAAGCGGGATTTGGGATTTTACCAGGGCCAGATAGGCTTTGGTCACCAGCCGGTCTTTAAAACACTTGTAGGCGCTTCCCGCTGCCGCTTTGTTGAGCGCGACGCACAGGGCCCCGCTGGTGGAGAAGTCGAGCTGGTGGCAGAACCTGGGGAGGAGACGGGAGGTGCAGGAGCATCCCCGGACTCGGAGGCAGAGCAGAGCCCGCTTGGGTGCCCCGGCCGCTCACCTGAAGCCGTAGTAGGTGTCGGGGTCGGCCAGCTCGGGGAAGCGGTGCTTGAGCTGGCTCTGCAGGGTCAGCGTCTCGTACCACATCTTGCTGTCGATGCGGATGTCCCAGTGCTTGTTGACCACGATGAAGTCGGAGCTCTGGTACAGGATGGACAGGTTGTCGATGGTGCCCGGCTCCATGGCCAGCGCCCTGCGGGGAGCGTGAGGGGCAACTGGGGGTGAGCGGGGGGGAGGGAAGAGCCTCCGGACGCAGCCTGGGCATCCCGGGGATGGGAACAGCACCCCCGGGGATTGGCACAGCACCCTTGGGGATTGGCACAGCACCCTTGGGGAGGGGCACAGCACCCTTGGGGAGAAGCACAGTACCCCAGGGATTGGCACGGCAGCCCTGGGAAGGGGCACAGCATCCCCAGGGGAGGGGCACAGCACCCCAGGGGAAGGGCACAGCACCCCCAGGGAGCGAAGGGACCCAATGAGAGCGGGCAGGGAGCAGGGCCCGGAGGTGGGGTACCCCCAGCAGGACTGGAGGTGTCCCGGCGCTGCAGGGCACCGGTGTCACAGCGCACAGGTCCCAGAGTGACACCGATGTCACAGCGCACA